TGATCAAAGTGCAAAACTAGCTGCGACCTCCTGCACTTCCGTAATTCTCACGGCGCACCGTGGGCCCCGAACAAAAGCCGTCTCCTCCCTCCCAGCGCCCTTTCCCCAAGCGTGCTCGGTGGTGATGTGCATCCCATGCGCTCATCTTCAGACAACGTCCGCAGCCACAGGGAGCGCCCAGAAGACATCCTAACCACTAACGCCACAAAGCTGCGCCCTCCAAAACCCATCAGCCACAAGCTTTGAAACACTCCAAAGAAAATACTACCCGACATCCAGTATGTGTTTCACACTGCACTACCCCCCACTGCTACGCGCCACAGGAGCGTGAGAAAATAAAGGCGTTTTACTTTTTGTGAGCCCCAGGTTACGTGGATTTATTTTGGGGAATGGATGTGGTAGGCATCTACCATTTCCCCATCACAACTGGGTATTAAGAACCTGATGGTAGTTAAGTGGTTGTGTAAACCCTCCCATGGGAGCCTGACATGGTTGATCCTTGCTGCTCAGTTCTTTTCAAGTGTCAGATAAAATGATGGGATTACACGGGGCGAGGGGGGGGCAGGGGGCGGGGATGACACGATTAATCCTAGAGACAGTCTTCAGATTGATGTTAGGGAACCACCAGTGGCCAGGAAATTGATAGAACTAGAAAAGCAATCAGTTGGTATGAACGTAAAAGTAGGTACTTTGCGCCTGGGGGGAAGTGAATTGGGGAATGAAGATGCCAGCTCCACCTTTGAGCACTGCGGCAGTTGGGATGCTGGAAGGAGAGCTCGCCACTAAAGAGGGCTGCTTGGGGGACAGCCAGGTCTCCATAAGGCAAGGAAACGAAGGAGAGGTGAGGACCCGGGCTCTCTGCCTGCCAGCTGGAGGGTGGCAGTGCAAGAGGAAGAGGGCACACAAAGCAGTGCGGGGTCAGGAACACGTGAGAAGACCAACCAGACAGGCAAGCATTTGGTGTGGTGGCCCGTGTGATACAGCTGTGGAGCCCGGTGGACCAAGTGAGGTCAAGGTTCCAAAAGGAATTCCGGTGTCAAGTTCAGATGGAGTCACGATGGCTTGGCCTCGTGATGCCTAATGAAGCCCCACAGATGGCAGTGACCAGGCAGACAGCAAACGTGGGGCTTGCCCGAGGGTGTGGAGTGGCAGTTACTGGTTTGGAAACTAAAGACCTCACCAAGTAAATGGCCAGCCAGCTGGCTGTCCACGGGAACAGTCCTGATGACGCCCCTTTCTTTTGATCTTCAACATGGAAGTCTGTAAAAGTTTTTAAAGATGGACAGGACATGATCAGATTTGAATTTTGAAAAGCTGGCTTTGGTTGCTCTACGCATGAATGAGGGACAAGAGCCGAAGTTAGAGGATTTACTTTTGTTACAACCCAACTAAAGGTGTTAAGAGCCTGAACTGAAATAGGAAATGGGCGTAAAGGGCTGGAGAGAGGCTTGGAAGATATTCAGGGGACAGTAAGAGTAGGTCATTGTGAGCAGTGGAAAATATTTTGTTTCTGCTTGTAAAAGGATTCAACTTTAAGTGGCTGCTCCTAAGTTTTAAGGAAACATTTCCTAGTACTGCTTTTTTTAATGTTTTAAGGTTTTTATTATAAATATTGAGTTTTACGAAACTTTCAATACATACTGAAACCATCATATGGTTTCTTTTATTCAGGCCATTAAGGTGGTACATTATATTCATGGATTTGCTTATGTTGCATTATTAAATGTCTGGGCTAAATCTTACTTGATTGTTATATTTTATTCTTTTAGTGGATTATTGATTTTGTTTGTAACAAGGGCAAGTATTTTATTATCCTAACAGCTACCACCATAATTTTTCTTGGAGAGATGTGATCTGTCCCTAGGAAAGTTCTCTGAAAAGGCCCTGAAGATACCCTGCAACAGCATGGTCAGCGAGGGGCCACAGGTTACTCAGTAAACATTGCAGAGGGCCTCCGGAGGCGGCCCCTGCTCCAAGTCCTGGAGTTGGACACCATCTCCCGGAGCTTGCATTGCAGTGGTGGGGGGAGTCCAACAGGACCGCGGGTCCCCGGCAAGTCTGAAGAAGAGGAAGCCGGCTGTTTTGGTGACATGGCCACAGAACGCCTCTCAGAGGAAGTACCTTTGAGGAGGGACCTGAAGGAAAGGGTGGCGGGTGAGCAGGAGACGGAACTGCGTGTGTGAGAAAATGGGATTTGTTTTTGGATCAGTGAAGGAGAGGGTAAAGGGAAAAGCCACGGGTGGGGGGGGGGCAGGAAGAGGACCGCAGGTCTGAATCAGCAGAGGGCGACCAAGAGCGAGCTCAGGTTCCCTGTGGGACCCGGTGTCCTCCCTGGCACCGTCCATTTTAGCAGCAGCGCTGCTACAAGCAAACTCCTTGTTTGTGAGACCATCGAAGACAACAGGCCGTCACCTGCGCCAGGGAGAGGCACAGCCACAGAGATGGGGAGCACAGAGCAAAGACCTGGCGAGGAGGAGAGCAGAGGCGGTTGTGAGGACATAAACCACCTGAATGTTTTAGATTCACTTTGAAGCTCTTCGGTTATTATTTAAATCTTAACGAATGAGTGGGGTTGTCACAAAACTTATTTTGGGGGGGAGGAGTTTATTGTGATTTTCTTTGCGCTCAAATGTATGTTCCTAGTATATGTTCAATTTTGGTATCTCAACCAAGGAGTCTTAAAATTTCATGTGAGGAACATTTTGGTGTGGATGCTACATAGTTTATAAAACTTACCTATTATATACTGAATATTATCTATCATGTCCAGAAATTAAAATTAAATTTAACATTTTGTCTACTTTTTAGCACATTTCCTTTATATGTTTGATGCTGTGATGTCTGGCACATATAGTCTCTGCATTATGTTTTTCATATTAAACAGAGCTTTATTACTATGGAATTGTAATTTCTTCATTAAGTTTCTGTGTGTTTCTATGCTTCTTTAAACATTTTTGTTGATCGACTAAAAAAATTTATGTCATTTTCTTAAGTACATATTTACTCTTTTAACAGGAATTTTTTTTTTTTTTAAATCCTCACCTGAGGATATTTTTTCCGTTGCTTTTCAGAGAGAGTGGGGGAGAGAGAGAGAAGCATCGACGTGAGAGACACACATCGATTGGTTGCCTCCTGCTTGCCCACCAACCACGGCCAGGGATGGAGCCTGCAACCCAGGTACGTGCCCTTGGCCAAAATCGAACCCGGGACCCTTCAGTCCGTGGGCCAGTGCTCTAACTACTGAGCCAAACTGGCCAGGGCTTAACAGGAATTTAGACAAATTACATTTGTCTGATGGCTGCATTAACTATGAATTTCTTTGAAGTTTTTTTTAACACAAAATTTTTAAGCATACCCGAAAGTAGAAAGAATATACAATAAAAATAGCTACCATATAAATTTTCAGTAATAATATTTTTCTATATTTGCTTCATCTATTTTTTTTGCTGACTTGTTTCAAATTATCTACAGATGTAAATATCAGTGCAGTGCACACCTAAACATTTCAGTATGCTTTACAAGAGAAAAAGTTCTGTACAAATGCCAGGTGTGTAATTTCTAATAGTTATATAGATAATTTTTTGCATGGGGCAATACATGAAAGAATATACTTTAAAATAACAACAATGTTCATATTTGACAGCAGAGTTTGAAGTGATCCTATTTTTTGCTTATTTTCCAGCTTTTCTCCATGTCTGTGTAGCTTTGGAATAACTTTTAAAAATATAGGAAAGCATATTAAAAGAAAATCATTGACTTCTAATGGTAGCAAGGAGAGGGCCAAAAGAAATTTTGTTTTTCACACAAATGTAAAAATGACTACTGCTATCCTTTGAATGCTAAAAGGTTAGAGATCACTGAACTATAAGGGTAGAAATATATTATTAAAATATAATTTTAATTGTATCAGATAATCCATTAACAGCACAATCTCAAACACTGTGAACACATCAGTAACTTACAGCGTTTGCGGTTGTCCCCAGCCCATCATAGTACATCACTGCCAGCTGGTACGCTGCTTGATGATCATGCTCCTTGATTTCTTCAAACTGTTCTAATGCTTCTTCATACCATCCCTGCAAGCTCCCAGGAAATACTGAATTATTTTTATTAAAGTGATCCAAGTTTTTAAATTCCCACCTAAATCTAGCTGGTAGCACCAAATAAAGCAATAAAAGACAGTAACAAATCTTTGGAATTTGTAGATCAAGGAGGGACTGCAGTGCAGACTGTCACTGCAGCACCAGTAATACAGCTTCAGTCCTTCATGAACCCTCAGGGTACCTCAGAATAAATGTGGATAGAGGACAATTCCCTCCTTACTCAGCAAAGGAACATACAAGCTGCCCTTAAGTGAGATAATCAGGGTCTTCAATTACTATTAACATGGAAATATTTTATAGATATTAAATACTTTGGGCAAAAATATGAACATTAGATTTTTAATTTATAGTGTAAGACTGGATTTTTTGGTTTTCTTTTTAAAAAATCTTTATTGTTAAGAGTATTACAGATATCCCCCATTTTTCCCTCATTGCCCCCCTCCACCTGGCTCCCACCCCGCCCCACCCCAGGCCTTCACCACGCTGTAGGTCCAGAAGCATGGAAGCAAGGTATAGACTGACGGGTCCCAGAGGGAAGAGGGCGGGAAGAGATTAACCAGAGACCCTATACGCCTATATGCATAACACATGGGCACAACAGCAGTGTGGGGAAGACTGGATTTTATACCAGAATGTCTCCTATAAATGACTTTCATTAGAATGACTTTGAAGTAGAAAGGCCAGATGTCTCCTTAAGCTGATCCCGGTGTATGACACTTCAACAAGCCATAACCATAATCTATGGATTCTGACAGACTTTCCCTGATACTACAATGTAAGCAACTGTATGAGAAATTTTGCTACGAGGATATAACAGCAACATTATGGGAAATGAAAACAAATAAAGAAGGATACCTCTTCAAAATACAGTTGCCCTCGTAGGAAATACGCCAGGGTGTCCCCTCTTGTAATCCTTCCCTTCAGGAGCTGCAGGGCCTCATCCACCAAGCCAGCGTGGCTGTAATGGTCTAAGTTAAGGAAGGGAAGGGGGGCCACCTGTACCACCTGACACGAATCTCCTTTCCAGGCCAGCAATTACACAGAACCCATCTGGCTGCTTGTATGGGTTTCCTTCCTTGCTCTCATTCCTGGGCTCCTTAGCTAGAGGGGGAAGTATTACCAGAGGCCCTAACACCGCACTTTGTATAATCAAGCAATATTTGTTGACTGGTTTTCAAAGTAACTGGGTTTATTACTAGGCAGGAGCTCTAGCAAACAATCTGTGTAATTCTTTAGGCTACGTTGCCCCAGGGGTGGGTGAAATTCTTAATTTGAGGCTTAGTTAGAGTGACTCTGACCAAATGAGCCAACCATGCCCCAATTTGATTTTTTAAAATACTATAGAATAAAAGGTAGCTTTAAAGGCCAATTTCAAGTCAAGAATGGCACTGTTCTCCTTAGTGGAAGTGACATCTGGCTTCCCTGTTCTAGAAGAGGGTCCTAAACCCCTGAGTATGAAACCAGGATGGGGCTCTATGAAACTTCACTGATGATTTACCACCTGATGAGTGAAATTGCAATTTCTCACATTCTTACAGGAAAGCTGGGAGGACTGTAAAGTTAACCACCTCCTTGACAGCAATAAGACTCATATTTCTTGTCACCTTTCTCTGGTGCACAGATTTTTAGTACAAATATCAGAATTTGTACCAATATTGTCCCTTGTCCATTGGAATTTTGAGTTCCTGGCAGCACACTTGGATAGAGAGGCATAAAGGGAGTCCTTGGGCAACTTCTCACTGGTCAGCCTCATCCTGTTTCCACAATGTATATTCTGTAAACAAACATAAAAAATAAGATAGAAATAGCTTCCAGAAAAACGCAGACTCCACCCCCACTTGGCACTCATTATGGAAGGCAACCTCCTCGCGTTGTCTAGGGAGAGGGCACCAAACTACCAGCTCTGGGTTGTGAATATTCCTTTTTAGGGAACCAGGGCTCTTTGTAGCTATGATAAGAAGCACAGCCATCCTCCACATCTGTCTCCACAGCATGGGATTAATGGTAAGAGCTCTTTGCAAATCCTTTCTATGAATTCACATGCTGCGGGGGGTCATGTCTCCCACCACTGCTGCTGCCACTAGTAGGACTTGGTGTCACTTCTCATAGATATAATTCTTGTGCTCTGGTACCTTCTTGTTGCCCTGTATCTGAATCTCATCAGGCTAACAATCCATTTCACATTCAAGCACTTGTCTATTTTACCTGGGAATACACTTTATTTTAGCTGTGCTGTTCAGTTTCATCTCCCGTCTATATTGGATTGCCATTTTATAAGTTGGATCGCGGTTAAATGGAAAATCAGAGCCTAAATCTAAAATGTAGAGGCCACCTGGTGGGATGGAGGAGTCCAGGTTGGCCTAGGCTGAGGGCAGCGGGGTGGCACTCAGTAGGTGCTCTGTTTTTCTGTTTACTCCTGGGTAACCTTAGAGCTGGCTCTTGCCCATCAGGAAGAAGCTTCCGGAAAGGCTCCTGATGGGCGGTGGTGAGAACTCACAGCCCGAAGTGTGGTTGGAAAGCTCCGTTTACACAATTACGTGACACTGTTTTGGATAATAAATTTCCTCATTAATGAGAATGAAGTGCAGAAAAGGTAGGCAATTCTGTACATTGGGGGAAAAAATCACTGAAGTGTCTATGATTTTGGAAGAGTCACTTAATATTTTTAAGAGTCAATTTCCTCATCTGTAGCTTGGATTATAAGTGGTTTGAACTAGAGGATTTCAAAATGTCTGTTCCTAGATACTTAAAATTCTTTGATTCTATGATTTCAAAATTATAATGGTTGCATTAGAGAATATAAAAGTTTCATCTATGTGCACAACCAATGGATACAGACAATAGTGTGGTGAAGGTCTGGGGTGGGGTAGTGGCTGGGAAGAGGGTAAAAAGGGGAGAAATTGGGGGACATCTGTAATACTGTCAACAATACAATGAAATAGAGTAAGTTTCCAATGAGCTTTAGGGTGAAGCAATATTAGTGCCCGGTTGGCATGGCTCAGTGGTTGAGCATCGACCTAGGATCCAGGACATTGCGTTTGATTCCCAGGCAGGGCACAGGCCTGGGTTGTGGGCTCGATCCCCAGTGGGGAGCATGCAGGAGGCAGCCGATCAATGACTCTTATCATTGATGTTTCTCTCTCTCTCCCTCTCCCTTCCTCTCAGAAATCAATAAATAATAATATATATATATATA